TTTCCTTTCCTATCTTCTGTTGAGACTGCACGGAATCGTAAGAGGTGCAAGTTCTTGTTGAAAAGACTACGCGCTCATAACAAGGGTGGTCAGTTCGTATTTCCTGTAGTTGTTCATAGCTTTCTTCGTTTTTGTTATCTGGCATGTTAGTGTCTTCTTATGGTCTGCACAGAGCATACCCTTGCGTCGCCTCTGCATCCTAATTGGGTTGGGTTTTCTCCTGACGAAGTGGGCATACTTAAAGGTATGCCTGTGTGCTGTTATCAGCCATGTTGCTTTCTGCCTTCCCGGTGTCATTTGTCCTTACTAGATACGGTTCTCCTACAGCTTTTTATCCAAAAAGGTTGTACTATGGAGGTCCAGACTACCGATGCAACCGCTGCCAGGCTAGCTTTTGGTGGCGTGAGAGGGTTAAGTCACAGTCTGCTATCACCAAAAGACGAGTGGCCTACAACAACTGTTGTAAGGCTGGGAAGGTCTTCGTTAAACCCTTTGAAAAACCACCTCCGTTCTTAGCAGATCTGCTTGATTATAAAGGCCCGCCCCGCAGCTTAAAGTTTATTAAGCAAATACACCAGTACAATTGCCTGTTTGCTTTTACATCTATGGGGGCAAAAATTGACCGATCTGTAAACGATGGTGGAGGTCCAAAGATTTTTAAAATTAATGGTCAAGTTTGTCATCGTATAGGATCGCTGCTTCCAAATGAGGGTGATTCTCCCAAATATGCAGAGTTATACATACATGACAGAGAAAATGAGGTTAGCAATAGGATCCAGGCCTTAAGTCAGCAGAATGAAACTGGCGCTGGGTTAGATAAGGAGATTGTGAAGGGTCTTATGCAGATGCTTGATGCAAATAATTCTTTGGTCAAAAAATTCCGTATGGCCAGCAAGATATTGAAAAATAATAAACATGAGGTGATTTCAATAAGGCTTATAGCTCCTGGAGAAAATGATAGCGCACAGTTTAATTTGCCTGCAACTGATGAGCTAGCAGCTTTGGTTTATGGTGAGTTTACATTGGAGGCGCCATGTAGAGACCTGATAATACGCACTAAAGCAGATCATCTTTGTCATATTTCCTCTTTAGATACTACTTACATGCCTTTGCAATATCCTTTGTTGTTCCCGTACGGTGAACGTGGCTTTCAGCTCGGTGTGCGCTATATTGATTCTGATAGTGATGACCCAAACAAGAGGGTTAAAATGACCATGCAAGACTTCTATTGCTTCTGCTCGCATTATAAACCAGAACAACATAATCCATATCTATGCTGTGGTCTGTTGTCATCACAGGCTGCTGTTGATTTCCGAGCCTGCATCGATGAATGCCGGCTCAATTTCATTCTTAAGTGTAACAATGATATGCGGGCTGAGAATCTTCAGGGTGTTGTCGATGCGGTAGGACAGGGTATGGTTGGTGGGTCCGAGGTTGGGAAGAAGAATATTATGCCGTCGGCTTACACTGGTGGTCGCCGGTATATGTATGAAAATTTTCAAGATGCTATTGCTGTCTCACGGGTTCATGGGTCGCCGGATGTCTTCACAACTTTCACATGTAACCCAAAGTGGGAAGAAATCCTTGACTCTGTTGATCCTGGGCAAACAGCGACGGATAGGGCTGACATTGTTGTTAGGGTGTACCACATGAAACTTGTGCAGTACCTTCATCGAATTAAAAAAGGGAATGCCTTTGGTCCTGTAGTTGCTGGTACTGCCCCTTGCAATCCTCTTTCAATTCCCTTCTCCTCCTTTTATTTACTACTTACTGTTTCTTCCGCCTTTTCCTCCTATTTTCAGTCTTGCACACTATTGAGTTTCAGAAGAGGGGGTTGCCGCATGCACACATACTTGTTTGGCAAAAGAAGGACGATGATAGGGTCGTCACACCAGCACTTATAAATTCTTATATCTCAGCTGAGATCCCTGATCCTGTACAGGATCCTTTGGGATATGCTCTTGTTGCTGAGTTCATGATGCACGGCCCCTGTGGCGTTGATGGTCCAAAATGCCCTTGCATGAAAAAGGGCTTTTGCTCAAAAAAATTCCAAAACCATTTCAGGATGAAACTTCCATTGATGAAAGTGGGTTCCCCTTATATAGGCGGCCTGACAATGGACGTTTCGTAATGAAGAACAATGTCAGGCTTGATAATAGACATGTGGTCCCCTATAACATGCTTATATTAAAAAAATGGCAGGCACATATTAATGTTGAATGGTGTAACAAAACATATGTTATCAAATATCTATATAAATATGTTACCAAAGGACCAGATAAGTCCAAAACCCTGTTTGAGAACCTTAGGCGTGATGGGGACCAGGATGTTGATGAGATTAAAGAGTACAGAGAGTGTCGTTATATAGTTGATTATGATTCTTTTTGGAGGGTTTACGGGCAAAACACCGTCTGTTGAGAGATTGCCTGTCCATCTCCTGAACATGCACATCGTGCGCTTTCGTACACATGCTACTCTGAGTTCGGTGATTAGTGATGCCTGGCTCCAAAAAACAATGCTAATTGAATGGTTTGTGGCGAACAGGGTTCACCCTGCTGCTAGGTCCTTAACTTACTGTGATTTCCCAACTAGGTGGTCTTGGGTAGCTGAGGACAAGAGATGGAAAACTAGGACAAGGAGCGATAGAATTGGTAGAATATACTCTGTGCATCCAGCGACCGGAGAGCTTTTCTATTTTAGAATGCTCCTTATGATTGTCAAAGGTGCGACGTGCTATGAGGATGTTAGGACTTACAATGGCATTGTATACTCAACGTTCAAAGAAGCATGTGGAGCAAGAGGGTTGCTTGGCGATGACATGGAGTGGTATACTACTTTTGACGAAGCTGTTAAATGGGGTATGGGAAACCAATTGCGCCAGCTATTCGTTACTATGATCCTTCACTGTGTTGTCAATGATGAAGCTGTTTTCTTTGAAAAATACGAGATTTACTTAGCTGATGATATTAGGTACATAATTCAAAAGTCGAAGAATAATTTCACATATGTTGTTCCTCCTGTTGAGTTAAGAGACATTCTACTTGATGAATTAGCTGTTATATTTGCTAAGAATAGTGCATGCATCCTAGATCACAAACTACCCTTAAAATCTGCATACGATGATGCTTCTGTGCAAAATGATATGCTTTCTGATGCGCTAGATGTTGATGTTGTTAGTCTTTTAAAAAAGGCAGAGGTGATGTATAATAGATTGAATAGAGACCAATTACATGCTTTCTCTGCTATAATTGATCGTGTCAAATCTAGAAAACTTGGTTTTTTCTTTGTCTCTGGATATGGTGGTACTGGAAAAACATTCCTTTGGAATGCACTTGATGCTTATCTTAGAGGTAGTAAGAGGGTGGTGCTGTCGGTTGCATCCTCAGGGGTTGCTGCCTTGCTTTTGCCTGCTGGCAGAACAGCGCATTCTAGGTTCAAAATCCCTATTGATTTGCCTGATTATGGCAATTGTGAAATTAAGAGGTCTACCATGCTCTCCACTCTAATTGAAGCGTCTGATCATATTATATGGGATGAGGCATTGATGTCCCATCGAAAATGCTTTGAGGCCCTGGACCGGTCATTCCGTGATGTCCTGTCGGCTAATGATCCTGCCTTAGCTAAAGTTCCTTTCGGTGGCAAGATTATTGTGTTAGGTGGAGACCTTAGGCAAATATTACCAGTCATTGAGGGTGGATCTCAAGCACAGATTCTTGCTGCTGCAATCACTAACTCTCCTCTTTGGAATATTGTTGAAGTTCTACACCTAAACATTAACATGCGTTTGACTGCGCACACAGATGATCCGGTGCTCCAGTCTGAAGTGGCTGACTTTGCTGAGTGGGTTCTCAGTTTAGGTGATGGCACAACACCTGCTGTTGCCCGTGAGGGGGAACCAGATCCATCATGGATAACTATCCCTGATGAACTTTTAGTACATGCTGATGGTGATAAAATTGATGCTATTGTTCAGGCTGTATACAAAGAAATCCCTACTAGGTACTCTAATGTTGATTATCTAAAAGAAAGAGCAATCCTAACACCAACGAACGAAACTGCTAAAAAAATCAATGAGCATGTTTTGTCTTTAGTGCCTACCAGTGAGAGAGAGTACCTAAGTTGTGATACTATAGGGAATTCATCTCATGCGGTTCGCAATCAAGATGCTTTCTACCCTGTCGAATACTTGAATGGGATTAAGGTCAATAACTTTTCGTACCATAGGTTAGTACTAAAGGTAGGCGTTCCCATCATGCTCTTGAGAAATCTAAACCAATCAACAGGCTTATGTAATGGCACAAGGCTTATAATCACAAAGCTTGTTGATAAGGTTATTGAGGCGATTGTCATGACTGGTTCAAACATAGGCGACGTTGTCTTAATTCCGAGGATAGGGTTGACCTCCAAAGATCCTAAATGGCCTTTCACTTTGCATCGTCGATAGTTCCCTGTTAGAGTGTCCTATGCAATGACTATTAACAAAAGTCAAGGGCAGACTCTTTCAAATGTTGGTTTGTACTTGGATACACCCGTGTTCACGCATGGGCAGCTCTATGTCGCGGTGTCTCGTGTTACTTCAAAGAAATCACTAAAGATCTTGATCAAAGGAGAGGATGACGAGCCTGCTTTTCAGACAAGGAACATCGTGTTCCCTGAGATATTTCGTTCCATTCGCTAGGCGGTATTAGTAACACCCTGTAATATATAACCAACGAATTTGCTTAGGTATGTTTTTGTGGTTTCTATATTCTTCCTGCAATAGAACCGGGTTTTTTGCATATTTGCCGCTTCTTTTGCCCTATCTGCCATGTCCTCCAATTTCCTGCATCAAAAAAACTTTTGCGCGCGTGTGTGATGCTTCCTTTGCCTGCTTGCTCACATCGATTTGATTCCCTTCTACCTTCCAGCTGATCAAGTGAGTTCATGTGAATAGTATCTTTAGACTTGCTCTTTCTTTCTCTGTCTCTCCTTGTTTTCTCACCTCTGCTTGTATACTGCAGATGTCGGGCCAGAGGATGAGCCTTCTCTCCCAAATCAATGACAGAGAGATGTTCTGGAATGCTAAGGTTCTGGTGTCCCGCATCTGGCACTACCGAGGTGGGACCGATGAAGGTGCCATTATGCATACTGACATTGTGGTGCTTGACAAAGAGGTTTGTTTTGTACTGCAAAATCTATGCTCATGTTGCTAATTCTAGCCTGCGCCCCTAAATTCTAATGTAAATGTGTAGGGAACCCACATGTATGGCCGGATCCCTACTGAGCCAGCTATCCGCCTGCAAGATGTCTTGCGGGAAGGCAGTGTTTATCTAATGAAGAGGTTCATGTGCAAACCATCAAAGCCCACTTACAGGGCTGTTGACAGCCCATTTATGATGCAGTTCACTCGCTTTACTACTGTTGATCCTGTGGTGGATGATGAAGAAGATTTCCCATACTGCACTTACAGCCTTATGTCCTTCTCGGATATCCCAATACCAGGCCCACACACTCCTCACTTTATCGGTTAGTCGTTCGATGTTGTCCTCATGTATGCCCTGCTTACTCTTGCTCTTCCATTAAATTATCTTACATTTTCTTTGCTATTTACAGATGTGATTGGCCGAATTATTGTTGTCACACACATTGTTGTTGTACACTCACAGCATCAAGCTGGTCCTTCAGATACCAGGACTCTGGTTCTCCAGGATCAAATGTGAGCCCCTTGTTTATTTTTCCTTTGTTTTGCTTTTCTTCTGCCCTTTCCTTCTATTTACTCGCTCCTGCTGGCTTGTAGCGGAAATGAAATCAGCCTTGTTCTCTGGGGTGCTCGAGCCCATGAGTTCGAGGCAGAAGAGGTCCGTGCTGCAAGTGAATCCACAGCTGTCATTGCTATCTTTGTAGGAACACTGCCAAAAGCATACCGAGGTGATTGTTTGATCTATAACTCACTTAGCCCGTTGTTCAATCTGTCGGTTTGATGCACATTTTCCCTTGTCTGTGTGTCTCGATAGGTATTAAAGGCCTGAGTGGTAGCTCTGCATGCCGCTGGTACATTGATGAGGACCTGCCAGAGATGAATGCCTTTTGTGCTAGGTATTTCCTCTTTCTATGTGGTTGTCGGTCGTCGAGATTTATAGATCTATTCTGATTCAGTCACAATTAACCATTTTTAATCCAGCCTTGCAGAAGGGCTTCCTGCCGTCACTGCTCACATCCCAGGAGAACAAGCGATTGTTCCAGCACCTGTTCGCGAACCTCCCGTTGAACTGAGTGTTCAGGAGCTGCTTGCCCTTGACCCATTTGACAACTTGGTACCTCCTCTCCTTACTTCTTCTATACCTTTCCCTTTTCTTTTTAGCATCCTCTCACTATACTTGTGTTCATCATTAAATGCAGAAGAAACAGTTTATCGTCAAGGTTACTATCACAGGCTTGGGCTCTGACAACCGCTGGTGGTTCCTCTCATGCCGGAAATGCCATAAAACAGCCTACACCTCCGGAAGGCAGTACCGTTGCTCAGACTATGGCTGTTCTTCTATCATAGCAGATCCTTCGTGAGTGCCTTTCCCTCGTAGTCTATTTTGGTTTGTCTACTGGGTTGATTCTGAGTCCATTTGCCTTGCAATGTCTAGATACTGCGTGTGCACTTTCGGAAGCGATGGCGCAAATGAAGCAGAATTTATGTTCTTTGATAGGGCTGCAAAACAAGTTATTGGCAAGCCACTCATGACTTTGATTCACCGCAAGTACCCAGGTTTTACAAGTGCGCTTGATCTTGCTCAGATAGGAGGTTCTGATGTAGGTTTGCCTGTTGAAATTTCCCGCCTTGTTACCCAGAAGTATAGGCTGGTCGTTTCTATCTCCAACAAGAGTTTTCAGCCTGCAAGCACCCAGCTGTCCTTCCAAGTTGGTAGAATTGATGAAACCTTTAAGCCTGACCTTGTACCCTTTGCATCTACTAGTGCATCATCTGCCTCTGGAGCATCGTCTTCTGCTGAGGGCTCAGACATGACAGTGCCCATTCCCACCTCTTTCTCTATAGGATCGTCTACACTCGTTGTGCTACCTCTCGATGAGGTATATATGCTGCTGGTTTCCTCTCTCAAGTTCTCTTTCACCCGTTTAATGCCTGTGTTGTTTCTTTGCCAGATGAACACTCCTATATCTGCATTCAAAGGAAAAGGACATGCTATTGTGTCTAAAACACCCAGGTATCAATCCTCCATTTCTCCTAGCATATATTCTAAAAATACTTCTTCTTTGCCTACGACTGATGTTTTTCCTTTTTTGCAGCCGGTCCCCATGCCCAAAAAGTGCTCGCCGCAAGCTTTTTATTGGTCCCCCTAAGTCTAAGGGCACTGACCTACCTGCCTCCGTTAGCAACGTTACTGCCCAGGCTGGAAAGGTTGTCGCAGTTACCCAAACTGAAGAGATTGCCGCCGCTGGAAATGTTGTTCAGCCTACACCCATGCCAACTGTTAGTGCCTGTACTTAATATGCAAACATCATTCTTATTCTGCACAAATTATGCTTGATGTGCAATAATCTGTGTTGGCACCAATCTGTACAGGTTGGACAGGAGACTGAAACCACAACTGCTGAGGATCCAAAGATCATCATTCCTGACCCCTCTAAGGCCAAGAGGTAAAGGCTCATGAACTGTTACGTTCAGCTACTTCCGCGCCTATGACAAAGACATCGACTTTACTCCTGTCTTGCTCTGCCTTTTATGAAACAAACTAGGTTGTGATATTAGATTATGGAATATCTCCTGGTTTAGTATATGCGCATGGTCTGTGCTCTTTCTAATATAGTTCTAGGGTCCAGTTACCATTGTATTTGCTGCTTTGTCATATCTCTTAAGAAGCTGGTACATACTATTTTGTTGCCAGTTTGCTCCCTTTTCTGTGGCTCATTGGTATATGCAGATTAGTTATCTGGGCACAACAAATATTATCAACTTTTCACTGTTTTGTTGTTCATTGATTCACTGTAAGCTAGACGCCTATACAATTATACTAGGCTGTGATTTAGTAATCCAGTGGGTCTTTTGTTCTTTTAGATGAAAACCACCTCTCTATATGCATCTTGACTATATTTTCTTCTTCGCTGATGCATGCGATGCTATTTGATCAGGCATTTCTTTGTACACCTGCTATTTCCACATTCATGAGAGGCTCAATAAAACATCCTTTTAGCTTCAGCATTTTATATATGTTCTCAGTTATTTTTCCTTGCACGTCCATGCAAGATAATTAGCCATAAAGCTGGTTTTCTGCTTATTTATGTTCTCCAATTCACGTGTCTAATCTTTAAATCCATGTTGTTTCTACGACATTCTATGGGTCTAGACTTTCTTGCGAAGACAAGATTATTAATATTTCTTTTATTTTTGCCAATTGATCAAATTCAGGACAAACAACCCTAGCAAGGGTGTTGGCGTCCCAAAGTTCTTTCATGGAGTGGTCGTTCCATGTTGTAATCTAAATATGTACATACAGTAAGACTAACATCTCTTCAATTCCATCTATTCTACATCCATGATGCATGGTATGTCGCAATATGATAATAACTGTGATTCCTCTTCTTTCTCAGGGTTTCTTCTATGTTCTGCTTGCTTATCAAGTAAAGTCTACGATGGACAGATGTCGTGCTGAACAGACCTTCTCAACTGTACTGCATCACAGCAGCGGTTTGGCCATCGGGTTTGAAGATCGTCGACTCAGTGCGCTTTTGGGCATGCACTGGATTTACTTTTGTGCGGCTTTATAAGACAGGGCTTTGACACCTATAGAATTGTGTCAAACCACTGTCATGGCAACTCCTTTATTTACGTCCTCGAACAAAGCATCATGCGTTGTAAATATCGCCGTTAGCTCTTCCTGTCTGAACTCCTTGTGACAACTATCCACTGTAAATACCGCTGGATCATGCTGCTTGCTCTAAGTCCTCTTGTTGTTCTTATGTTGTGTGCTTCTTCTTATGTCTTATATTTACTGCTACCCTTGCTAACATAATGGCCCTTGTCCTTCGCTGATTTATCTGCCGAGCTAAACATCATGTTCATTCCTGTTGGTTAACTGTTCCAGATGACCACTCAAGATGTTCTTTGTGTATGTTTGAATATCGATAAGAACTCGCCACCTAATCAGGATTATGAATCACCAGTTAAACTTATTGTTTCAATATCATTCATTCTTTGGCTTTCTCCTGATGCTGTATGGTTGCTTTCTGCAAAGGGATCCTACGAATTTAGTTTCCTATCATCCTAAGCCTTTAGTAGTGTCTATGAGTCGTCTGTGAGCCGCCTTCCGCTGCTGTGTGCTTTATATCTGGGATATTTGCTGCTGGACAAAGCATATTATGTGCTTTCTGTTTTCATTTTTATTTTTTACTGGTTTTTCAGTATTTGCATACAGGTGAACTAATAATTCATTCACCAGCTCTAGACTTTTCCCATGTATGAAACATTGGGAAAGAAGGTTTTATACCAACTCGCTAATTTATGCGGCTCTTTGCTTCCCATTATCTGCTCAATGGTCTTACGACAAAATAAATCTTAGATTTCTAATCAAGGCCCTGGTTTACAGTCAAAGTTGAATTCTGCCCTTCAAATAGCAACAGCTGCCAAAATATTATATGTACTTTATTTTAAATTCCAAATTGCCATTGTGCGTTCAAAATTTGTTTACACATAAAAAAACTATTTTTTATTTGACCGCAGGTTGAAAAATTATTGGCAACTTGAAAACTTTTTCATTATTCTCAGGAAGTACTCTCTTTGCGAAAGGTTAACAATTAAAAGTTTTCCCTGTTCCAAAATGGTTCGTAAATTAAGAAATTTTGCTTCTTCTTATAAGTGTTCAAAATTCAACAGTTGTTCATTGCTGTGAATAGTTGCCCGTAATTTTTAAAAATGACCCTGCTTTCCCATCGTTTGTTCGCAAATTCAACAAATGTTCGTGCTTTCCTATTTTCTAAATTTCCTTCCTTTCTACCATAAAATGATCGTCATTTCAGAAAAATGTTTCTGTTTTTCAATGTGCTGCATATAGGCATGCCCAGCACTTCCTACCTGCTAAAGTTATCTCTTATTATTTTTTTCCTTCTTACTTTATTTTTTTGTGTTCTGTGCTCGTCTATATTCCACGGAGAGTTAGTTCATCTTCTGACGGTCCTCCTATTCAAATCCCAATGTTCGCCCATTTGACCATTCTTATAATGACTTTCTAAAATTTTAAAATTATTAATATTGTACTCAGAAATTATCTGTATCTGCCCGAAGAAAAACACATTTTGCCTATCCACAAAAAATCGTACACACCTGTTTTTTTATAGTGGCATCATTGATCTATAAAATCAAAATCGAATGACAGTGTTCATATATACTACTCCTATGAAATGTTCTGCATTTTATAATTTTGAATGCTTACTAAAAGGAAAATGCATTCCGCCTATGTTTTCCCGGCCTGCCTTTTTCTGCTTCTTCTCCTTGCTGAGTCCCTTGTTTGAGAGTGCCCCTTTTCTCCTATGGCCCATCGGCCTTTTTCCAGGGCCGACCCGCCGGCCCTCTCTCTTAGCTGGTCACACGCACCAAACCCTATCTTCTCTTCCTTGGATTCGTCTGCTCACCCCATCCCCCTGCCCCCTCTCCCCGTCCACCTTACCTCCTTCTGCTCTCTCTCCTTATCTGCTTACAGCTGCTTTACGTTGGATGCTTGTCCAAACGCACCAGATCCTTGGATAGCCACATCCTCTAACGAGTCTCCGCAGTGCTCTACTATTTGCCAGGTGCGCCTCCTCCTCTCCAGATCCATTACTCTAACATCGTTGTTGCCAATGGCATGTGTTCATGCTGCGCAAATCTACCTCCCTCTCTTTTGTTTTTTTGCCTTTGACCACCCATGATTTGTACTTCTCAGGTGTGCAGTCTATTTGGGTCTTCCAAAAAAACGGCCAGGAGATCCTAGAGGCACGGCCCCGGACTGAAGGTATATTCCTCTGCTTCCAGATCCACATCCAGCTGTTTCTTTAATTCATGCGTATGAAGACATTTTCATTCCTTTCTATATAGTTTGATATATATTCCTGTGCTGTCATATATCTATGAATGATGTACTCTCATAACGGCAGCAAAATATATAATTTACTGTCCTTTATTAATTGATTCTAAAATATTCAACTTGTTTTCTTTCTTCTAATTTAACTTCAACTTAACAAGCTACGTTGTCAGTGCCTATGCTTTACCTATACTCTTTAAAAACCTGTATTTCCTGTCCCTATGAATATTTACCCATTCATAGACTAATATCTCTGATTGCCTCTGTTCATAGCCTCATGATATTATAGCATTGTTTCATGATGCACTTAGTAAAGCGCTTTTAGATCCTTACTGCATGTCGATTTTGAGACTTTGATCTTCATTATTCTTACCGCGCATTGTATCTATGCCTTATGCCAGCCACCCTGAACCTATCTTTTGAAACCATCCTCATGGAATTGGTCGAGCTACGCACGACATCTTTGGCTGAGGCAATGTTTGACAAGCTTGAGCTCCCAAGACCAGTTTACCATGTGCATATGCTTGAGCAAGGCGGATATAGGGCACAGATTGAGTTTCACCATACCAGAGAGCGTTATAATGCTTCCGCACGCCGGACTAAATTGTTGAGCCATACATGTGTTAGCAGAGAGGCAGCAATGGATCAGGCAGCCGATCAAGCAATTACATACATGGAAAATAATGAAAACAAGGTTCTTGCTGATTATAACTACTATCGGCTGCAACAAGAAAAACAATCTTGTGCAAGGCTTTCAGATACCTTGTCAGAGAGAACGAAAGAAGTCAACCAGCGCAACCAGACCATCATACAGATGACTAAAGAGGCGTCCAATTATCTGGAAGAAGTGCATGCTGCATCAGACAAGATCCATGGTCTTGCTGCCACTGCCTTAGACCCTGCTGCCAGCCTGTCTCTTTCCACTCTAAAACAAACTATTTTGGCGATTCAAGATTCACTTGTTGCTCTTCAAAGCACTACCGCCGCTGCACGTGCCTCCCTAGAGGAAAAGGGCATGTACTCAGAGGATGATGTGGCTCAACCAACCTACGATGGGCTTTCTGATGAAGAGACCGATGAAGATTGCCATCAAGACATGGATGATGACTACGCTCACTATGTGCGATCCCCATGAGCACTGTCTAAGCCCTACTAAGCTGATCAGCAAGTGAAGCTTTCTATATATAGCTTCATGATGACAATGCTCACTGTGTCCGATCCCCATGAGTGTCATATTGAGCCTGCTAAACTGTCTCTTTGCCATGTGAAGCTGTGTATGTATGGCTTCACCGCTAGGACGCGTCTCTGTGTCTGCTGTGTTTAGTCTCCTAGGTTGCTTAAATAAGATGCGAAGCTATCTACTCATAGCTTTGGCCTAGAAATCTTTATCCTTTCTGAACTTGACTCTGGTCATGTATAAGTATGAAGTCTGTGTTGACGTGTTAAGACAATGTTATTTATCTATGCTACGCCTTTGCTTTTATCCACTGTGATTCTTCTTTTCAGTATCTTCGCTATAAACATACATTCATTTGCTTTAACCTTGCAAGGCCAAATCAATGAACATTTGCTAGCATAATATACATATAACTATTTGCCCTTTTTACTCAATTCTCCTTGTTCATTAGCAGATCAAAAACATACCTCTTCAATCTCAGATCAAAAATCTCACAATGGAAGACATGGACATTGGCATCGTCTGTGACGACGGTTCCCCGGGATCAACAACATCAAGGACAGCAACGCCTGCGCCCAATGTAATCTTCTAATCACCAGTTGTAGTTCATTCATTGTTCTTTATAAACTTGGTTTTCAGTTTTGCTCCATCGCCGGCTTATTTGCCTTGCTTCTGTATTCTTGGAAGAGTGAATAAAAGATACATGCATAATCGTGGAAATTGGTCTTCCAGAACTCATCCTGATTGTTTTGAATGAGGTGATGTTGTAGTAAACATATTTGTTTCCTGGACAATATTTTCCTCATGTGTTGCATTCTGGAAAGGGTGTCTTTGGTCAGTTTTCTGTTCTTTCATTGTTTCAATTGTGTGACTCTACACATGTATCCTCACAATTAGTGGCGCCTACAAGAATGGAAGGCCTACCTGTAACTTTTCTTATGTAGTTAAATAAAACAACTCAGGGCCTCACACTCAATCAAACTACCATTCCCAATTGAAATCCTCATTTGTCGATTCAACTATTATTTTGTCAGACAGAAATTTTACCCTTACTTTGCTTGCACAGGAGAATGACTATCTGATAGTAATTCCTTATGCCCACATATTCGCCCTGATGCTGAAAGCTCTGAAGTTACCCCCTGCAACTTACTATCACAAGATATGCCCAGGCGGAAAGAATCGTGTGACGGTTACTTTCATTTCTTCTTTGGAATTGCTCGATGATGCACTTGTTCCAAGTTCTCTGTCAGGTGCAATCTTAGATAGCTATGAAGATGCTGAAGACAGTGCTGCTACTGAAGCTATTAGATACATGGAAAATGCATATGGCAAAGAAACGAGGGACTACCACTACACTCATGTCAAGAAGCTTGAAAATCAAGTGACACACCTGGTCAAATGGTTGGTTGCATCAAATAAAACAATCAAGAAGCTGCGCAAAACATGCTACTACGCTGTCAGGTATATGAGCTCATATTCTGCCCAAATAGAAAACACAACGACTGCTCGGCATTTGAAAGGGCGGGATAGCACCAAGGGAGTTATGAAAACAGCGCTGGCAAGCATTGAAGGACTGACGCAGAGGCTACGCTACATTGCTATGAAGTTTGAGCAGCGCCTCGCAGCAACCAGAAATAGTTTCTGGTGAGCTTTGGTCAATGTGTCCTGAACAACATGCTTCTGTGGTTACTAAATCAGGCACCTTTTGTTTCATATCGATCAGACCAGGATCTTTCGCATTTTGGCGCACTCCAAGCAAGATATGTGTACGCTTTAGTCTTCACTTGCTGCCTCTATGCTGAAAAGTAGTGTATGATATAGTCTACGATCTTCAAACTTTGTTGTTATCTCTGTACTCAGAAGAGGGTTATCATCGCTTACTGTATATATGTGAAGGCCTCACCTTTAGATTATATTGTTCTCTCTGTAGTCAAAAGCGGATTTTCACCGCTTATTCTATATATATATATATATATATATATATATATATATATATATATATATATATATATATATATATATATATATATATATGAAGAACTCCTCTCCTGCTATTGTTTCCTGAAAACTATGACTCAAGAAATAAGCTTCCTTTTATGCATGTTTTTGCTTCAATGCTTTCATCAGAGCTTCCCTGTGATAACGTCTTCCGATCACGGTGTATGCAACAAATTAAAAGCAATTACATTCCTGTTTATTTTACAAACGATCATCAACAACAACTACATCAGCAGAAAGTCAATAGTACTTTCCTACATGACTTAGTGCATCATTTTTAATCTTATCTGCTTATTGCATATAGTATATGAGCTATTCTTTTGAAGCAACAAATATATTAATACAATCTCTCACAATAATTAGCTTACACACGGCCTTTGCGCCATTGGCGCAACGGGTCATCTAGTCCTGTCAAACGTTGACCCACGCAGCTTTCACATCACCGATTCACCAGGAGCCTCACAATCCTGGGAGCTTAGAATTTGTACTGATGTGTACTCACAGACCACTCCACCTATAGTACTTGGTGGACAGGGGGCATTTGCCCTCCCCCGGCACTTGACCACGTTGTATTTATTTAATAGTTGTTTATGATTGAGTATGTGTATCTTATAATTATCTTATAATTAACTTTGTCTCTGATTTGCGAGGCCTGCATTGGATGGCACATACACGTCTGGACCGTGCGGTCTGGACGTACTCCCGCCGATTCTTTTACTCTGCGCATAAGAGCAGACCCTCAGACTTGCCCTTAGTGGCGTCATAGCAGCACATGATCTGAAATCAGTAGACTGCTCTCGTGCGCCACCTCTTATATTGCGCCCGAAGGCAGGCGGCTTCAAATGCGCAACAAAACCACTCGGAGTAAATTGCCTATAGCCAGGTTTTTGGATTGTTGGAAACATGAGCAAATTACTAGAAGATTTAATCCGAATAAACAGAAGATAAATCATGACGGCAATAACAGAGATTAAACTAATCATGTGAACTAGCATAGTAGATGAACAGATCACATCTAGGGCACATATTAGAAACATGAATTCTACCACGATCTCGAACAGGAAGGATAGAATCACATAAGGTGCAGCGGGAGCAGCACCGCCGGCGTTGACGTTGTCGCCCATGTTGTCGAGGATGAGGTTGCCAAGGTCGGGGAAGAAGTCATCGTTCGCGAAGTCGTTGCTGCCAGCAGTCGCGCGAGAGCGCTCCCCAAAAACCCGATCGCCCCTCTCCCGTACAGGATCACGAAAGGCGGGGTTCCGGAGGCCTGCTGTCCCTTCTTCCGGTGCACGCCGAAAGGAGAGATGGAGAAGACTTGCTTGGCGGTGCAATGATCTGGAATGGTGATGGGTAGGTCGTGGGAGTAATTATTAATTAATGACTCATTAATTTTCCCGAGCGAGCAGCAAAAATATAGACAACGGTTTGGCTCAATCCCGCAACCCGTGGCGCAGCGCGGCGCGTGGCGATGCGAGGCGAGGCGAGCGCGTAGAGGTGGTAGAAGAGCTCACCTTATAAAGAGGTACAAATCTCACTCAAATTCCATGATGGGACTAAATTTTAGACTCACTCACTCCACTCACATGTATGCATGAATGAGCCAAGAGAATTTCAAAATTTTAGTTGGGCTTTGGGCCAAAGGCCTACTAGCAAAATTCCAACAAAATTCTGGCTCCCTTTTACTAATAAGATGCATTCCATACCGGAATTTTGTGTTTGTTCATTCCCAATAATAAATAACAAGTGACAAGTTTTTTTTTCAGGAAAGCAAGTGACAAGTATAGCCAAGTATTAATCCAGATTTTACAAAACTGTAGCCCGAGCCAAACTTCTGTGCATGCTTGTTTTCCTGAAACGTCTGCTGTAATCGTCATGGTCTCCAATTCCATCCAAAGTTCATCTATACGTAGTACTATATTTGACAGCACAGGAAATTCCATATACGATAAAGGAAGAACTTGTGGTGGCCAAATTGGACTCTATCAGGTTAAAGTGCAGCGGAGAACAACTTTTACTTTCCTTTTTCTCATTTGTTGAAGACAACGGGGATCTACTAGGCAACGTCAACCCGTCGTGGTGGTGGGCAGACAGGAGAAACGGAAGAAGAGGAGACAGCTCGCGCGGCCGATGGCCATTGGCGACTCTAGATGGTGGGACTTCTCCACCGACGTCCTGGTGGAGATCATGCTGCGGCTGCCCCCAAGCTCCCGCCGCCGATTCCGCCTCGTCTGCCGGCTCTGGGGCGACCTCATCCGCGAGCGCACAACCGAGATGCAGAGCCGTGCCATGGCCCTCATCTGGAACCCCTACGACGCCATCGCCTATGTCGTCGATGACCTGTCATCCACAGGGAGCTCCAGAGTGCTGTGGAGCGCCGGCACCGACAAGGAAAGGGGCGTGCAGCTTGTCGGCACGTGCAATGGCCTCCTCTGCCTCTGCAACAACCAAGAGAGGCTCGGTGGCGCTCTTACCCTAGTCAACCCGGGCACCGGCGAGGCGCTGGCACTCCCCCCGATGCCGTACGCCGGCCTCTTCTCCGAGAGCTCTCACTGGCGGAACTGGAACGAGACTTCCACCTTCGCGTACCACCCGACGTCCGGGCAGTACAAGGTGGTGCGCGTCCCTGCATTTTCGACCGGGTGTTTGAGCCGGAAGCCGTGCACGTGCTCACGCTGGGCGAGGCGTCATGGCGGAAGGTGCCCACCGGCATCAACGGCAGGGCGGGGTGCCGCCTCGGTCCGGGCATCGTCAGCGTCGACGGCACGACGTACTGGGTCACGCGTGATGCTCCGCCGAGGGTCGTGTCGTTTGACCTCGAGCACGAGCGGATCACCTCCACCACGTAGCTGCCCCAGCTGCCAGCGTGCTCCGACGAGGCTGCCCGCTACCACCTGACGGAGGTGCACGGGAGTCTGGGCGTTGCCGTCCGAGACGGTGACCTTCTAGGCATGGAGACGACTCATCTGTGGGTTCTGGACAAGGGACGGCGGTGCAATCACCGCTACAAATTCAGCCAGCGGAGCATCCCACGGCCCAATTTTTTGTACGGCAAGTGCGTCCTGACGCTCAGGGATTCGTCGATCTACGGGCACTACGCGAGTACAGGCGACTCGTCGTCCGACGTTATGAGCGTCAGCCACACGGAGCAGCCGAGCAGGGGACGCTGATCACCATGGTGGGTAATTACATCGCCCGGCGGAACCATACTTCGTCTATGTGGAGACGACGGAGCCACTAGCCGCTTACAAGGTCACGTCTGATTAGCTTCTGTGTTGTTGATGATGATTTAGGCACAAGGCGTCAGCTAAACTAACCAGAGGACTCCATTCGTTAAAAATGCAGAGATTTGATTATGGGAAGAAAGGCTAGGATTTATAATAGGGTGTACAGGGTGTATTTAGGCCTCAGTCGAACCAAGTCTCAGTCAAGTAATATAGTATATGAAAAAAAAGGAAAATTGAAAAGAAATTTGTGTACGAATCTCAATGCAAGATCAATGAAATATAACATCGACTGAGACATAACGAAGTCTATGTTGAATGAGACTCAGCAAAACTGTTTATAATACTGGCTAAAGAAAACTCCTTATCTTTCCGCAAAAGAAAAGGGCAGTACTCTGCGCCGGCCCAAAGTTCGGCCGGTCGTATGCTAGCCGTCGAATTATCTTTTCCTAACCATCAGATCTGGTCAACGCTTCTTCTATTCCTCTTTCAGGCCGTGTCCTCGCTTAGTCCTCCCAGCAAAACCAATGGCCCTCGTGGTCCGTCATGTTCCAACCCGTCGTGCTCACGAGGTCGCCGCCCCATCATAGCTTGACCTCACCGCCTCTCTGGCTCGCCACCGTCGTCAACCTGCACCACCCTGTTCCAGCAGAAAAAAAAACACATCTCAGCGCCCCCCCCCTCCCCAAAAAAACTCCATTGGTCACTTGAAGCAAAACAAAAAACTTGTTCCAGCAAAAAATATCTCCTGTTCCAGCAAAACTATATGAGCAACAAGGAACTCCAGTAAAATGTTTGAAGCAAAGAATTTCCCTTATTCCAGCAAAAATCGCATCAGCAACCAAACCAACCTTGTAGCTCCCCAAAAAGCAGGTGGTCAGTTGAAGCAAAACCAAAAAATGGTTCTAGCAAAAAAAAAACTCCGGTTCCAGCAAAAACGACATGAGCAACTGAAAACTCCGGTAATCGTTTGAAGCAAAAATTTACTCATGTTCCAACAAAATTTTACTCGATTCCAACAAAAAATTGCATCGCAAAAGAACCAACCCTGCAGCTCCCAGAAACACCGGTTGCAGCTCCGGCGTGCACGGATGGAACTCGGCCATCCAAGGGCGCAGCTGATTGCAGCACCAAAAGCTTGTCCACCCCATCGCCAACAGTGACAGCACTAACTCCAGCACGAGGAAGCAGGGTTGTGCGGTCGCACCGGCGGCTCGCAGTAGTCAACGTCGGGCGTCGGGCGTCGCCGCATCTTGCCGGAGTGAGGGAAATGGGAGCATGGTTGGGCGGCAGTCATCACCTACGTGGCCTGGCTGGATATGCGAGACGGGAAGAGGGGTGGGGAATTGGTGGTTATGGTGCTCTGCGAGAGGGTAAGGAAAGAAGAATGGGCAATGGGTGGGCCCTACAGGTCATGTGGCTTGTACAA